TAATGTATATTAATTTATGTTCCTTTATTTCCTTTCTCCATCACAAAGAACCAATTTTCCTCATTTTAACAGATAATGTTAAAAAAAAATAATTAGTGGGTGCTGCCCCCGAACCCCCGTGGCCCCCCCACCCCTTCAACTCTGGGATCTCCTAATTCAACGGGCTAGCTCCGCCCCTGGTAATTTTCCTCCTATATAAAGCGGATTACGACGAGTCTTGTGTTATAATAGAAAGAAAGCAGAGCGAGGCGTAAGCCTGAATATAAGTAATCTTTTTTCTTTGATACAATGCAATTCTTTAGCGTATCAGGTGGACTTACGTAGCTCTCAAAATTTTTTGATCATGTGCTATTACTTGACCATTCGACCTGAAGTCTAGCATCGAGTGAATATTACTTAAATGAAAACTTTTGAAACTCAGTTAAACATTATCTTGTTAATTAGTCTCAAGTGCACTTTACACTTTCCATTAAATTATTGGCAAAATTAGGTCCAATACCCTAAAAAATTAACTGATTTGATTAATATCTCCCCCCCAACCAACCCTAAATGATTCCTTTGAAGGTAAGATCCTTCACCAAGATCAGTTTACGGTTTCAAAAGATGAAGTAACAAACACTGGACTGAATATAAATTAGTTTATGCAAAGTTCTGAACAAGATTTTACCAAGATCCTTGCTACGAGACTCAGTAAGATTCTATCGGAATAATAAAGGGGTTTGTTTCACCTCTTACATCATTATAGATCACTCGATTTCAAGTTGTTACATTGCAATTAATGTCACTGAAAATTTCACTTTGGGTGACAACTCAACAATATTCAATGGCACCTTTGAATTGGCGGTGGCTAATGAAAATTTTGGGAATGATTCTTCTGTGAATACTATTGGGTGCATAGCTTCGGAATGAGTGAAAGGATTATGTGTGCAAAACTTTAAAATGATCATAATTTGACAGCACATCGGGTGGAGTGGTAGCAACAATTGTAGTGGCTGTAAGGATCAATGAAAAAAGGTTATGCTCATTTAGGCATTACGAGCTTTTGGAGTTCCTCCAATCTTCAATTGATGCTGCCTTGGTGGCCCAATCCAGGAAGATCGTCATGGATGACGTGGCGAAAGCAAAAGAGGCCACCAAGAAGAAAGTTGTGGAGAGGACCTCGGGAAAGTCCGGGAACTTCCTGGGGGGCAGGGAGGACAAAATAGCCCCTGCCGTGATAGAAATGCTGCCTCCG